AATGTGTTCCCCAAAGGCTTGAATCCTGCCCTTTTCTGCAAGAACTGTGACTCCTTAGAAGGGTTGACTGATTTTAGGAGAGATTGTAAGATGCCTGCTCCTAGTACGCTGATGATTGAACAGACCTGGTAACAGTGCCTGAGTCATCCCCGTTTACAGCTCAGCATTTTAAGGAAATTTGAGTTTGATGCCCATTTGCCTTAAACCATTATCAACAAAAATAACACAGGAGCTGCTGAAGAAGCAGCATAGACATCTGTGTCGTGGAGGAGGAGTTGGCAGCCCAACGCAGTAACCGGATATCATAGAATCATAGAATCATAGAACGGTTTGGGTTGGAAGGGACCTTTAAAGGTCATCTAGTCCAACCCCCCTTCCATGGGCAGGGACATCTTCAACTAGATCAGGTTGCTCAGAGCCCCGTCCAACCTGACCTTGAATGTTTCCAAGGATGGGGCCTCTACCACCTCTCTCGGCCACCTGTTCCAGTGTTTCACCAAACACTGTTATCTTCCTCTAGGGCAGGTCACCCTCCCTGTGAATCAGATCCCTACAGCTACAACAGCTGGGTTGGTTTTGTACTATCTATGGAGGTCTAAGATTGAAAGGTACAATGCGTCGCTCTTTGGGAACATTTCCTCTAGCCTGAAAATTACAGTCTGCACCATTAAAAAAAAAGTGTCAGAATGGTAATCTTTCATTGCCTCAGACCCATTTACTCCTTAAGGATGGGAAGACTATTTGCATATGCATTGATTAAATGGAATGCATTTGTTGTTTCAGATGCATTCGTAGTGAATTGTTACAATTTAATCTAGGCTGTGCAGGGTCCTGGGGGGAAGCAACGAAGTGCAATATATATGTGCATCATTAAAAATAATTTAAGTGTGATGACAGCTGGAAAATAACCGTACAAGTGATTTCAGGGTGTTCCGTATTTATTCCCCGGTAATGATAAATCGTTGTTGGTTTTCTCAGTTTACAAGTCAAAAGGCGGGTTTTTAACACGTCAGCCTTCAGTCGGGGTTCTGTAAGTCAAGTAAACTGAGCAGACTCCTGCCTAACATTCAGTCCTTGTTACCACAAATTCAAGCTTCTCACATTCATTCATTCATTTAATCCCCAAAAGTCCCCTTGAGGTGGGTAAATATTATCTCCATATTACTGATGGAGAACTGAGGTGTAGGGCAGGCTGAAAGTGACTTTACAGATTGTAGCTTTAAAGAAAGGGCTTTGAGACAATCTACAAGTCTTAATCTGAGAAGTCAGCTGAATATTTTTGGTGTTACTCTAGGTGAGTAATTCACTGATACTTCATTGATAAAATATCTCTGACTGAATTGATCATGTCTTCTGGGACCAAGCATTTCTGTGTCCTTAGTAACATAGGGAGTTAACATGTACAATGACAAAGTGCCATTTTTGTGTTAAAACAGAATTCTAAGTAGAATTTTGTTAAAACACCATCCAGTTATGACATTTGGGGAATATGAAAGGGGTTAGTGGCTGAAAAGATTATAGGTTTATTGATCACATGTAATCCCTAAATGATTTTTGAACTGTATGTAAGGATCACTTAATCTGCTGCTGGAAAACAACCACATGAGCTGGAAAGCAGCAGCTGTCGGACAGCTCAGAGCACTGTTACATGACAGTTGAGCAGGGAAAGTAAAAGAGGTCTCTTTCCCATGCCAAATACTGTTGTGGCTAAAATCTAGTTACCTACTGAAGTGCAGTGGCAACTTAAAGAAGAAAGGCCACATTGGAAAAGGAAAACTAAAAGTTAGATTATTAAGGAAAGAGATGTAAAAATGAAATTACCACTTCCTTGCTTTGTTTAATATGTATGTTTCCCTGCTCCTCAGCGTTATTAAGCCCTCAGTAGGGCTATCAAAAATCTATATATAAAATATAGCTGCTAAACTCTTCATCAGTTTCTGTACTCTCATGTACACTGATCCTTTCATTCTTTCCTTCTGATGTAAGACAAAGTCAAGGTATGAACCAGGTAAAGCCAAATGGAAATATAGGTACTATGCAGTAGGATTATCCCAGGATTTTTACATAAATTGGCCGGTAGGACAGCTCTGCAGTAATGTTTTCTGCATGGACTGTTTTCCTGGTAAAAGAGTGGTTAAGCCTTGTCCAGCAAGACCAAGACTTTGCAGCCATTTGGAGGTGGGTAAATGAGGGGCTTGAAGACCAAGGTCAAGGCTGCATCTTGATCCTCTCAAAGGCTAAACTCTAGGACCTGATCAGAAAAATAATTCACAAGAATTGGCTGTGCTAAATACCTTGTTTTGGTCATTCTCTGAATGCCACCGCTAGTTAGGTTAATTATAGGGAAAGACATTGATAAAAACTTGGTAAACCCATCAGATTCTTCAGTAAATGCAATTGTTATTCTGAAATACAGGAGGTCTTGCCATGGACAAGACCCTTTAGGCTACAAAAACAGAATAAACAAATGGTGTATATCCCAGTGGTCTTGCAGATAGCGCAGCTGTGGTGTTCTCCCACTAAATAATCATTGGGGAAAAATCATAAAGCATTGATTTATCTGTAAGCAAGAGTACTACCTGAAATTTTATTTATCTCAGGAATGCTTTCGTCGCTCCTGATTCAATCAAATGCTAGAAAACACGCTTTTGCTCTCCTGTCAAGGTAATTTATTGTATTAGATGTTTCCCAAAATATCAAGAGAATTACATATGTATGTGTCTCCAGGAAAGCCTTTGAAGGAAGGATACTAATGTTCTTAATCTTGAAAGAGCATCCTCATATTGTCACAAGGTATTAGTGATACTGCCATTTTTCTTTCCCTGCTATGGAGTTTTTTGGGCATGGCTCATCTCCAGCCGCTCATCAGCGTCTGTTAGGGCACTTTAACTTACATTCGCCACTTTGAAATTCTCTAATCATTGCTGTGGATCCCTGTGGCAGAAGCCTGACAGTGGTCACTCTTTCAGGCTAGGATGGGGTTTGCTGTGGGGCTGGCACGTGGGAAGTGGGGCAGTGAAGCAATTGTTGCAGTGGGCCTTCACTAATCCCTCTGGTCAGTGGGAATGCTCTAGCTGGTTATGCTGGATTTTGGGCAATTTTGTGAAGCTCCCTTCCTGTACCAGCATGTGGGATTGTGCCTCGACCGTAAAGGTAATACACAATTGTTGTGCTCTATTGGATTTCCTTCAGGTTGCCATGGAGTCCACTGGGTATTGATATTTCTTAATAAATGAACTGAATTTAATTTGTAGCTTAAGAAATTCAGAGCCTGTGTATTAGAACTTCTTTTTTTCCATTTCTTCTCTCCTTTAGAAAGGTAGTGTTCAGGAGTGTGAGAAAAGTGACAAAGGAAAATTACTTCAAGGTGTAAATCTTAATTTCTGAAATTTTGAGTTAAAGCTTGCTTGTTGCTTAGGAACAAATGCATTTTCTGTTAGCAGTGGAAAATACTCTCACCGCATTCTAGACCAGAACATGGATGTGAAACAACTACTAAGTCAAATATCTTCAAAAAAATCTCACTGTTGAAACATGGTTGAAATGGTTATTTGCTATGTAATACATTCCTCTAAATTGGACTTAGTTACCATATACTGAGATCAAGCGCATTGTCTCACTGAAACAGGGGCTGTTAAGGCTAAAGACTGTGTTTGTGTAGCTGGTATGTAACTCACTGTGGATGCAGCTGAAACATAGGAAACAATAATAATAAGTACTTCCTGGATCTGAATTTTTCTTTTCGACAATCTTCCAGTAGTAACATAGCAGGATTTAATCATTGTCAATTACAGGTCTTAATTAAATGCTAGTAAGCACTTATTACTTTGATAGTGGAATGGAAATAGCTACCTGCTAATTTAAGAGCTTTTTATGAGAGTAGCTGCTCCTGAACAAACATAAAACTTTTCTTATTTCTCTCTGAGATTAAAATTGGAAAAGACCATAAGAAATGCATGGCAGACATTTTATTTTTGAGGATCTGCTTTCGTTCTAGATCAGCTTAACTTTTTTGCAGTTAATAATGTTTGCGAAGTTGTATGTTCAACTGGAGGGATATTTTGTGTAGTTTGTGGATTGCATGTTCAAATTAGAAGTTTGTGCAAACAAAAAAAATTAAAGTAGATCACTAATAATTTCTGTATGTAAATAATCCATTGAAGATACCATCAGTTTAATTGCATGTGCAGATTAAAAATCCTCATTTGAAAACAAGCCTCTTAATATTCAGTTTATATTTATGTCAAAATCTGTTGAGACACACAATAGTTTTATGATAATTAACAATGGGAAAACCATAGAAGTCTTGAAGTTTGATTTAGATAAGTACCAGAAATATGGATGTTTATCCATCCTACATCTCTCTCAAGTTTTCTTGCAAAATGTCTGGTTCTTCAGGCCTTGAGAGAAGCTAAATATGTACTGTAATTCTGCATTTCGTTCCCACTGACTGCACAAGAGCAGAGAAAAATGAGAAGAAAATTACTCTTTCATTTTTGAGTTTCCTCACAGAAGGGTTGTGGTTTTTTTTTTTTTCTACTTTCCTCATTATAGTGGTAGCTATGAAGCTGGCAAAGTGCTATGTGTTTGGCTTCTTACTAAAGTAATTCAGATCTGGATCACATGAATCTTTTAGGTCTCTTTTTTGGTGCAAATTGCATGAATCTTCAGAGTTTTCTTATTCTAAACTGTGATAGTAAGTTTCCATTACAAGCTTAATGATGGATGCCTTGGAGACCTGTGCTACTAATTATGCTCTGAATTTTTTCTCAGACCTTCTGGCTCTTTGAGGTAGGTTAGGAACTTGATGCTGGGGCATCAAACATTACCAACTCAACTGTAATGAAATAAGAAGCTGCTTACTGCATGACACGAAAAGGCTGCACTTAGCAGTGTTTGTGTGATGATGCTAAGCAGATTTGGAGCTGTAACGCCGCTGAACTTGGCAGTTTCTTTAAGATATTTTAATCAATCCCACTGCGATGTTTTCTCAATGCTAGAATTCTGCCAAACATCTGGCTGGGAAGTTGCCCTCGGCAGCTGGAGCATGTGACTGTCAAGCTAAAGCACGAGCTGGGTGTTACGGCTGTGATGAACTTCCAGACCGAATGGGACATTGTTCAGAATTCCTGGGGCTGCAACCGCTACCCGGAACCCATGAGCCCCGAAATCCTCATGAAACTGTATAAAGAGGAAGGTCTTGCCTACGTCTGGATGCCAACCCCAGACATGAGCACCGAAGGTAATGTTCAGACCACTCTTGCAGCTAAATTAATAGTAAAAACCCTTTGAGTTACAATCTGTCACTTTCATGACTGCGTTTTTTTCTGCATAAATGTTGCATAAAAATATAGCTAACGCACAAGGTGTAATCTCTGTGTGTGTTGTCTCTAACAAATTATTCATATTTTCTTGTAGATGGAGAGGCCATCTAAAGTACTTCATGTCTGGCAGTATATGTGTATTTGAGTTTGAAGCCATATGACATTGATAACTGCTTGACTGTTTTTGTTTTCAGCTTGAATTCAGCCTGTATAATGAAAATATGCTGTGTAGGTGGGAGACTGCAAGCTTGCGGGACAGCTTGCCATCCTTGCTGGTTAAAAATGGAAAGACAATGCTGTATGTCTGTCTCTGCTATTCCCCTCCCCCAGCAAATCATTTTTCTTTTACTATAGTATCCCAGTCTGATAAATCACCATACAGTCATTTATATAATTATTTGTAATTAATTTAGAATGCCCATAGCACCTCATGTAGTAACATAAATTATTATTTTTAATTCCTCCGTTGGAATGCTCGGTTCAAAATCTTGTTTCCAACCAGTAGGTTAGAAAGTGTGCGTGTTTTTGAGTGAGTACCCTACCAGGAGAAGAGAGTGCTTTCAAAAGAGTGAAATACTGCTGCCACAAATAGAGAACTGTCATATCAGTAACAGGACTTCAGGAAAGACAGGAGACCTTAAACCAGGGATTTGAAAGGGCTTAATGTCAGTGCTCATCTGTGCCATGAGGAAGAGTTAGGCTGTGATGTTTGCAGCTTCAGTTCCTGGGGTAACAGGGGGAAAGACGTCAGGACATATGGTATAGTCATCCCTTTGGGAGTGAGAAAGACTGTTCTGTGTTGCTTAACCGTATGCTTAGTACACAATTAAATCATAACAGTATTAATTTGTACAGGAAAATACTCTTCTGCTCTCTCTCCCTCGCTTATTATTGACATGATGGCCTTCATTACAGTGTTTTGGAAAGCGGCAGTATGTAGGTAGCTTCACAAACCTCTGGTACTAAAAAACATAGCACTTTTGGCTCGCTAACTTTAATGCTATGTAAGACATGCCGTTTGATGTTATTTGCTACCTTATCTCAGTCCCTGTGAAAATGAATATGCCACACATGTTCAGTGTTAATCAGAATGTATATTGGGGCATTTTACAGATTTTATGTGATCTGAATCTATGTTGCCAGAAGAAACAAAGGTTAGGGTAGAAAGTCATTTGGAAAAAAAAAAGAAAAAACCCAAAATACGTCAGGTTTGCTGTTGTGATTCCCAGTGCATCAGGCTTTACAGACATAATCTCAACCATGAACCTAGCTTTCTCAAATGCAAATGAACGTGCCTTGTTTTTAACCTTAGGAAGAATACAGATGTTGCCACAAGCTGTCTGTCTCTTGCACGGGTTACTGGAGAATGGACACACTGTCTACGTTCATTGCAACGCTGGCGTTGGCAGGTCCACAGCTGCTGTCAGTGGCTGGCTGAAGTACGTGATGGGGTGGAGCCTGCGGAAAGTGCAGTACTTTTTGGCTTCCAGAAGACCAGCTGTCTACATCGACGAGGAAGCTCTGATTCGTGCTGAAGACGATTTCTACAAGAAATTTGGGCATCTTCGTTCCTCATGCAAAATACAGGAATAGAAAAGCAGGAGAGCAAAAAGGAGATGAAGAGGAATTCTTACATTTGAACCCCAAGGACTTAGAAATCATGAGTCAGGGTCCTGCCTCTCCTCTTCAGATTATAAGCTTGTCATAGAAGTCGTGAGAATTTTGCTAAAAAGTGCCTTTGAGTGTTTCTTAAGCTGATATGAGTCATGTTTTCGAGCCTTTTTCTGCAAGTATGAGACCTAGAAACTCTGCAAAGGGAAACTAAGATTTTCTCTTAACTACTTGCCTACAGGAACTGAGGTTTCAGGGTAGAAACTAAGTAAGGTGTGATGTGAAATAGTTAGAGTTGGCAATATTTCAGTGACAAGAAAGAGAAGGCATTCTCAGAAAAACAGGTACAAAGCTTGACTGGATTAAGGTTCAGGTTAGGATGGAGCTGATCATCGTCAAAGCTGCTCGGTTATTTTAGGTGGAGTGTACATTACTGAAGTGTTTTCTAGTAATTTTGTAGACAAGTGGTATTAATGAGAAAGACCAGAAGGAAACTGAGTTTTCAACTCAGTTACTTAAACAAAAAGCTAATGTCTAATGCACTGAACTAAAATTTGCTCTCTTTGCCTATGTAGTTAATGTGAAATATTACGAGTTACAGCTGTACTTTTTTATGACATTGGGGTTATGCTGGGATGTGGCATGAAGAGAGGAAACAGATCCACTTACTGCAGTCTTACTCTGTTGCAGGGAAGGACTACTATTTATTACATTGTCCTGGGCTGTGAGATCTCTAAGTCAAAGATACACTTTGTTCTTCTGGTTTATGCAGTGCTGTATAGTGGGCTCCTTAGCTGCCAAGTCAATCTAAGCAGTAACCACTGGGTCAAAACAGGACCTATAGGAACTGCGTGATAAGCCTCTGTGCATGATTGACGCCACAGTCTCTGTGTTGTTGACTTAGATGAGTTTCTTTGCTATAGCAAAAGTCTATTCTTCTTGCACAAGCAGTGTGTGGATGTTCACAGATGCTAGATTTAGCCAAGTGAAGTGAATTCCTCTATTCGAGCAAAGAGCAACTCTGTGGAGGGTTTCTCAGGAGCTTAGCCTCTGTAGGCTAATGTTGGCTTTGTGGATGATCCCTAATGTTTTCCAGTGCTGCTCAGTCCCTCAGCTAAATGAAGCAGCGGCACCAACAGCTTCCAGTCCTGCTCGGGTAAAACCAGTTTGCTGTAGGTTAAGTCCAAGAGAGAAGGGAGAGAAAGCATTTCCTAAGGAACAGAGAATTAAGGATGAATAAGCATTACAAAACCTAATTTCTATACGTTTATTCTTCAGTGAAATCTCATTTTTTCCAGCCAACTTGACCCTCTAAAGACCCAGTCAGAGCAGTTTAGCTGATGTATATTGATTATCTGAATACTTAATGGAGAAATTATTGGATATGAACTGTTTATGGAGAATGTCCAGAATAATATAATACATTTTATTTATCCTATACTTCAATCATCTTCAAAAGGAAAAATATTTATTTAAGTTATTCGATATGTGTGGGTTTGATCATGACTTTGTTTCTTATATTTTCCTTTGAAATAATACTTTGAAATGGATGAGGAAAGTTCTCTATTAAATAAAGCATAATGACAATTCCAGCAGCCCATTTTGTCATACGTTTTTGACTCCCAATTTCGTGAATAGCAAAAAGAGTCATGACTGATATTTCTATATAGAGGTGGGACCACCACTTTAATGGTAACAGCCCATTTCTTGTCTGCTATGCCGTGTCAGTTCTGATGTTGAGGAGGAAATCTCAAAAAACAGCACAGCAAAGATGCGTGGGAGATATGCCGCCTCTGATACCTCCAAAGACCAAGAAAAGGGGTTGTTTCTCCTAGCCTGATGCGGGGAGCAGAGGGATCGTGTCAGTGCTGCTGTCTGGCTGTTGGGCTCTCGTGCGAATGTGCAGAGCTACAGCTGAGTGCCCACGAGCGCCTAGGAGTTACCTCGTTTTGACTGACTCTAAAGTAAAAATGGTGAGCTTTTGCTACCATGTGCTTCTCAAAGTCAAGCGCTGAGAGGAGGAGGGTGGCATAAGAAGTAGAGAGCAGAACTCACTTAAGTTTTACATTTCAGTTGAGATATATTTGAAACCCCAAGCTTAAAATATGTCCTTAAAAGGACAGACAGTCCTTTCCATCAGATGCAACTTGTAATATATATTGGGACAAGTACTTGTGGTTTTGGTCTTTGTTTCACAGCTAACAGTGTTTCTTTTTCAGGGCTCTTGGGACTGAACAGTGCATAATATGACACAAACAAGTAAGTATATGGCTAAATAAGTATAGCTGTGCTTTATTGGCTATTTATAATTCTGATTTTATTGGCAGTGGAAGCAGACTGGTGCTTCATGTGTAGGGCAGGAATTCAAATGATATAGAAGCCACACATTCAAAGAAGCCCTAGCAAGGGGTTATTGATTAATTGTTTATTGTCATTTCAGTTTGCTTTGTTGCTGAACTGCTGTGATACTGTATCATATACAGATTGCATTAGCTGATGAACTACATGAAAACAACTTGCCAACATCATGTTAACAAAGAATGCAAAGAGATCCCATAGCTCGTAGTCCCATTGTACCTATTTGTAGCATACTTTTTTCCCTCATTGCCACCTTCCTGCCTTCCTCATTGAAGGCCACCCTGTCGAGTAACATTCATTGAAAGCCCCGTCTGTTGAATGCAACTGGGAATTTAAATGCTAAAGAGATCATTGCAAGAAGCTACAGCCACAGAAAAAGCAATCAAATAAAAATATTCCATTTATCCAACTGTATAATTACATGATAAATCTGCATCTAGAGATTATCTATTAGAATTCCAATTTGTAATATGTTCTTATGCTGATTGGATCATTAGCTGTTTCCACAGACTAGCCTCTTGATACATTTTGGATGAAGGAATGAAGACAGTCTGTTGTTCATATCCTTGTATATTTCCTTGCTACTTCAGTCATAAAAGTGCTACAAAATTTAGAGTAGAACAACTCCTACAGAAAGTTAGAAACAGATAAACAGTTATTTTAAAGTGGGCCCAAGAAGCCAAACTAATACATATGCAATAACAGGAGCCAGGTAGAAATATTTTGATAACTCATCACTGAAAAGCATCAGTTGGGGAAAATGGTTTTCTGCTGGTATGAGCATCAGTATTCTCTGCCCTGTTAGAGCCAGGTTTTTACCTCTGTTAAATTAAAGAAGAAAGTAGAATTTGCTACATGGAATGAGACCATTTGTAACTCCAGGTACTTAGAGTATCTCGATGTCATTATTAAGCCAAACAATAGTATATATTCTTTCCCAGGGCCATGTACATGAAGGAGCTAAGCAATCCTAGCTCTTATGAGTGATTTTGTAATAAACACAGCCCCTTGAGGGATGGGTCAGGCTTTGAGTGGTATAGTTTCGTGAATATTTTTCCTTTTGACGTCAGAAAAGTACTAGTGAGAATCTTCTGCATGACAGTTTTAGGTAGGCAATGCAGCCTGGTGAAAGGAGACTGGGCTGGCTGGCACAACTGTTGAATACCTTCCTTTCTCCCTTACTCCTTACTTGTTATTTCACACTTTGAACTTTAGTCCCTTTGGCATTTGTCTGCTCTAGTTGCTTTGGTTGTGAGTTCTCGGTCTTCCCTCTCTGTTTGTACAGCACCAAGCACAGTGAAGCTCTGGATGTGGCCGGGACTGCAGGTTTTATACCAGGTTGTACTCCAGAGTAGTTGGAAAGTCTCACAACTGGCAACAGAGCTGTGTGTGCTGCACAAAAACATGTGCAAAACAGTGTCTCTGCTCTGGGGTGGAATTAAAATTTGACACTGCCGGCTAAGCCCTCTTGGGCAAAGATAAAGGAAAAAGATAGGCTGTAGGTTGTGCAGGAGCAGGTAATAAAATCCCTATTTAGAACAAGAATGCAAACAGTCAGACTTACTCCATTACCTACTATGATGTCCTTTTTGAGTTCTAATTTATAAAACCCACCGACTTTACTGGTCTGTAATTGAGAAAAAAAATCTGATTTGAAGTAGTCAAAGACATTTGTCATAACTGTATTACCCTGCTTCTTTTATTCTTCATCATGAAATTGCAGTGAGAGGTTTTAAACCAAAGATAGAGTTAAAAAAAAAAAATTGATTATTTAAAAAAATACACTGGGATTGTGCAACAGGAAATTATGAAGAAATATTTAGAAGCATAATAACTACCATAAAAGCATATATTTGGCAATCAAGCCCTACCTTCTTGAAGGATAATGACCATCAGGCTGCCCTTAGCTAAAATGGAATTAGATTAATGTAGCAGAGGACAGGATGTAGATGACTGTCTCTAACTGTTTACATTCTTAGTGGTAAATCAAAACCTCTGCAGTTACTGCGTTAAAAGTATTCTGCTGGAAGAAATTGTGTTTCATTTTCCACATGTTAATACAGCTTAAAGAGAAAGGGGCTGCTCTGAGGGAGCAGACTTTGGAACGGTGGAAGTATAAAGGAATTAATCCTTTTTCTGTTGCTCGGCGACACAACGACCTCACCAACAGCAAGACCAAACCATATGACTTCATAATTGATCTTCTTCCTAAATTAACAGAGGAAAGCAGTTTTTTCAAGGGCAATGACATTAACATATATTAGCATAATTGCATAGTTGTGATATAAGCAATCAAAATACATGCTGTTGGCCCTTCAGTTATGCTAACAGTGAATCTATAGGGTGTTCACTCTTAATTAGACATATTTTCCTCTTGCTCCGCCCTTTCACCTCAGGGTGCTTCATTCCAGTCTTGACTAGTTTATAAAGGGTTTTGTGACTAAAAATTGCCATGTCTGTAAAGATAAGTAATGCATATTTTATTAAACTTTTTTACATATCAAGGCTTGTCTGGGGATAAGGAAATAAGAACTGTTATACCCTGTAAAGCAAGGATGGTGACACTGTGAACCTTAGCCCTATATAATTCAACCTTTTTGTGCTGAAACACGTATTATTTGGGA